AAACTCCCTTCTGTTGGTATAGTTAACGGAATATTTAAACTTCTAAAACAAAATGTTGTAAAAAATAAATATATATATATATATATATACTATATTTAATACTTTTCAAAAATTTAGAAGGCAGCTTGTCTACAAAAACTCCCCTCCATTAGTATAGTTAACTAACGGAAGCTTGTCTATACAAACTCCCTTCTGTTGGTATAGTTAACGGAATATTTGTCAAGTAGATCATTTTGAAACAAAATTGATAGTTTATAGATCATTTTGAAAAACAATATTATTTTTAAACTAAACTAAAATAAATTACATAATTAATAGACTATTTATTGAATTTAACCATTATTGTTCTGTTGGTTCATTGTCTCGGTGAGGCTCTAGGTCTAGGGCTCTGTGATGAGTATAGTAATAATAAGAGTAATAACCTGTAAAATTAAAAGTAAATTTGAAAATAAAATTTAAACCTCCTTGTTTGCCTAATTGCCTCATAAATCCCATCAACCAGGTCTCATCTCATCTCATCTCATCTCATCATCGAGAAACCAATGAAGGAGAATTCTTTTTGCATGTCATTTTTACAAGTCTATTTTTAACACTCTTTTATTAACATATGTAAATATTTTTCTTATTTAGTAAATCTACTATTTTGCTTTTTTACCTTTTTCCTTATTCATTAATTTCAACCTAATATTTTTTATCATCCTTCATTAAATTTAATTCACCTTCCCACATTCTTTTTAGCATGCACTCTTCTTCTTCGTTTTCCGTTTTTCCCCTCCACTAACTAATCAAACTTTAATTATTATTTTTTATTTAAAAGATATACTTGCTAATTTATTATAATTTTAATTTTTTTAAAAAATTTCATTATGATATGTCTATCGGATTTTTTTATTATTTAATAAAAATTTAATTTTAGATCTTATATAAATGAAAATAATCTAACAAAATACATTTTAAATGTATCAAGAATTTTTATAATACTTATAATACCTTTTATGATGTAATAGTTAAAATATTAAATTTCTATCAACTAATATTAATTAAATAAATTAATATAAAATTAAAATATAACAATTAAAAATCTCTCTCTCTATTTTTCTCATTACATTGTTTATTATTAGAGATAAACATATATATATATATATATTATAAAGGAGAAACCATCGAAAGAAAGTTTGTTACATGGTATATTCATATATCTTCCTTAATTCAATTTTTTTTTACATGTGGCTCGGCTTTATTTTCTGATAAATTTCTTTCCTTTGAATTCTTTTCTAAATGTGATTATTATTATTATTATTATTAGAGTAAAAAAAAGTAAAAAATATCATATTATTTAATGAGTTATTCTACCATCAATTAATATATTACAACTATATATTTAAATTGTGCAATACATTTTGTTGGCTGCACATTTTTTTTCTACCAAGAACACTTGGAACTTTTTTTTTTTTCTAGCCATTTCTTGCAATGTTTCCATTTCCTTTTTTTTTTTTAAAGTAATTAATAATAGTAGTTAATACAATAACAATTAAATTTGAATAGTGATCATATGATATTTATAAAATTAAAGAAAATGTGAAGGTTTTTTTTTTTTTAAAACAATATTACAGCTACTTATGTGGAGAAAACTAGGTATAAAAAATTAACAATATCAGCAAAAAAGTTTTGAACTTAGATGCATACAAAATTGAGCCTAGAAAAATCGTCTTTTCTCCTTCTTATGGGGTGATGTTATTACCGTGCCTCAATTACTAATGCCACATTTTTTTTATTTTAATTGACTATTATATATCTTTTAATTTATTAAAAAACAAAAAAAATGTAAAATTTTGAGAAAAAAATATAATATAAGGGTAAAATAGATAACTATATTAAAATGATGTAGTATTAACTAGGTTAAATGCTAATTTCGGTCTCTCAACTTTAAGATTTTACGCAATTTTCACCCCTCAACTTTTTTTTTTGCATTTTTTTGGTCCCTTAACTACGAAAAATATATTTTTTTAGTTTTTCGTCAATTAATTCGTTAAATTTATTTAAATTTACACATTTTTAGTCTTTCAACTTTAAGTCAATAGATGAAAAATGTGTATATATTTAAAGTTAAGAGACTAAAAATGTGTAGATTCAAATAAATTTAACGGATTAACTGATGAAGGACAAAAAAAATGCATTTTT